CATTGGAGAAGACAGATGTGTGTTTCCTACACTGTGGTATAAATGCTCCCCTCACTTTTACAATCTTGGAAGAAATGTGCAATTTAAGGGCAGAAACAGTAGTCCATTCACAGAGTGCTTCTAAAATCTACTCTGTATTATTCACCTTTCTAAAACAGTCAAAACTGTGTAACTGGATGCCACAGKCTCTGTACCCCTAACACCTAATAGAGATTCTTCGAAGGGGTGTTTTGAAGACGTTCGAAATAGGAAGCTATGAACTCCATCCCCACGCCTGTTGTGAAACTCCAGGTGAGTCTACATAGATGTGGATTTTTTTATTACAGTTTAACATTTCTAAACACCATTTTATTGGTTAGGAATGGGCTGAATCATCTAAAATCAGCTTTTATTTTTGACCTCTAATTTGACCCACAGAATATATCTACTAATTAAATATCAACAGGAAACAAATGTCTTCACAGAGCAAAAGTAACTATCTATGACAATTTTGGTTTGTGGTGAAAAAGCAAGGATGAAAAAACCCCACATAGTGAAAGTCCCATACATATTTAAACGATGTTATACACTCGTGCATGGCCACCCAGATAGGGATGGAAATAATGCATGGTGCCTCCAGAATGAATTCAAGAACCTATAGGAGAACCTAAAGGCTCCTGTGCCTTTACTAAGGACTGCAAGCATGGAGAGGTGAAGCTCTGCTTCAAAAGCGAAGCAGAATGGTACATGGAAGTGCCTCCAGTTGTACTAACAGCACAAACTTTTCAGTTTCTCACTTCCCCCCCACTTTTTTGACACTCTATATCAACATTTCAAGGATTCATTTCTTCTTTTTTTCTTTCTAGTAATGGAAGGAAAGCTGTCTTGGAGAAACCTATATAGCCTGACTAGTTCACCCAACTGAAGGATGAAATAAAATAGCCTGAAAGTAGAGGAAAACCTACCATCCCACTTAGCATCTGGGTGTAGGAAAAGTGCAGCTCCTGTATGACCAAAATGCTTTTAGATACARCCCACTACTGGGCAATATTTCAACCTTTGGAGAAATCACTTTCCACTGTAAACATTGGCTGCAGTCAATGCAAAATATTTATTCCTCTCATTTGAGGATCTCCCACATGCTTTGAGGTATTTGAGTCCATAAGTAAGAATACCAAATATTATTCCTGTTGCATGTACGTCAGCCAGCTCTTGGACTCTCTCCCTCTATGTCATGGTGTCAGTAAGGATGAGTGAAGCTGCCCTTTGGCCAGGCTGGTGTTTGGTTTAAAACATTAGGTTTGGTTGTTGCTTTTAGGGTACCTCCCACCACTGCTGTCCTTGTTTTCCAAAGTAAACAGCCTCTGGCGTCTTGTGACCTGAACAGCCCCAAGTGTCTGACCTCGAAAAACAAAAAATATTTTATTTGAAAAGCAAATCTGCAGTATAAATGATCTGAGGCAGAGCTTCCCTTCCTCTGCAGGCTGCTGGAATGCCCAAGCTCTGGTAGGAGCTGCTTGCATGCCACAGAAACACACTGGGACGTATTCTCCCTCTAACGATATATATATGAGGCAATGATTTGGAGTTGGCAGATCACTAAAAATTCTAGCCAAACAAAGATAAAATTGTAATTTCTCAACACTGAAGCACTCAATGCTGAATTCATGGTCACTTGTGACCGCTCAGGCTGGTGCTAGCCCACAGGACTGAAAGTGATACTGTGGAGTCAACAAATTCTAGAGCTTGTTCAGAATTTGTTCAGAGGAAAAAAATCTTTTTTTTTTTTTTCCTGGAAATTGTTCAAATTAGAAAGAGAATAAAATGCTAATTTTCCTCAAAATCCCACGCAGTAGGGCAAAACCAGCAGAGCTGTATAAACCCACTGTAACTGTGGAAGTCTTCATCAGCACACGTGAAAAGCGGGCCCCAGCTCATGCAAAGAGGCAACCCCGATGACTGTCCCCCGGGCAGGGCAGCGGTCAGAGGCAGCTGATGCTTTAGGTGAGCAGCTCTTTCTTCTGACACCGTGAACCGCTGTCTTTAGGATTCTTATTCCTTGTACTTGCTCTTTGGACGAGCRGAATTTTCCAAATGCAATATTCCCACTGGAAGTTTTTAACGAGTGTTGGAAATATTTTATCAAGTGCTTTGAGGAATCCTACTCAGTAGACCGTAGTCCTTGACATCTTTCCAGATCTATAGCAGCTTTGTTTCAGTGAAGCCAATGGTGTTAAATACAACAAGGAAGACAAGAACTAGGAGCTGTTTTCTCAATGTTTCATAGCTCTGTTATTTTAACTGTCYTGAGTTGACTATGATCTCAACAAGCCGTGGTACAAATCTACACAATTCAAGACGACAGGAGGGGCAAAGAGCAAGGGACAAGACACAAATTCCTCTTTCCTCTTCCCCACTATCTACTTTGCTACCTCTTTGCTGCTGTCTTTATAAGAATGGATTGCTCCTACAGTGAGGAATTCAATCTCCTCATCACTGCCAGCATCACTGARGCTGTCGGGTACTTGCACAGTGATCTCTGTGAACTGGTATCGGCACCAAATTATTTCACAGAAAACAGTCAAATGCTAAGAAATCACCAAGGATCCTGGCTGTTACAGAACCAGGCCAAAAATCAAGTGGTGTTCTGGAGGTGAAAGCATCTCTTTGCCATTACAGCCCTTGGAAGTTTCCCAGTCCCAAGGGTGTACTTTCATRGAAGAAAAACCTGTTTCAGATCACGCCAGATATTTTCTGCAGTGCCCAGCAGTTATACCTGAGGATGTTCTCCAGATGTTCATGTTTGTATGAAACATACAATAATAAAGTTGTAAACTGGAGGAGACAATACCCAGACTACAAGAAAAAGGCTTTTAGGACGGCCTGGAAAAACATGAAAATTAACTAGCCCACACACAAAATCAACTTGTCCTCTTTAATGGGATGATAAAGACATATTTTATTTGCTTTTCCAAAGAACTGCTACTTTTCCCAGCCAGAGGGCACAATACATTTGGCAAGGTCCTTGCCTTACCATTAGATGACTGTTTATATTTTGGGRAACAGATATCCCCTCCACCTAGGCAGGCAGGAAGTGAGAGGTACTGAGTTTGAGGCAGAAGCCACAGTTTAGACAATTTTTAAACTTCAGTGGAAAGAAAAAATAATATATTGTTGTCTGGAGAACCAGCTATCAGAAGGCAGAAGAGAAGAAAATCCTTGCAGCACCTCAAAATGTAGAGGTAATGGAAACAGACCTGYTGTATTAGAGAAGTAAAAGTTCTTGGCCAAAATAAGACGTTTTCCTGCAGGTATCACCTGCTCTGAGGCTATAAAGAGCACCAAATGAGACTGACTTGGCTACGACAGCTGCAGAGTGAGATGTCTTCAAGTTGTCTAATGAGACAGGAATGAAATAGGAGCTTGAAACTGCAAGCCTTTTACTCTACTGTTTTTTGGRAACAATTTCTCTTTTTCTACTGACCTACGCTGGCTGCACAAAAGCAGCCTGAGAAGGCTGCCTATAAGTCCTAGGCAGGGTCTGGGGAAYGTTTCTGAGTGTCTATTTCTGCTTAATTTGGGTTGCTCAAGCAGGTCCTGATCCCAAACACATGTGGATATGACTGAGACCTTTTAGTGTATTACACTGGTAGCCTGCCTAAGGATTTCAGGATGTCGCACRACTAACCTGCATGGAATGGGGCTATTTTGGTGATTTTGGAGGTCCATTTAGAAGTATTGCTCTGCATTATGTTAATGACTGTAAATAAATACAGGCATTGCTGTTGCCATGACTTTGATCTGCAAAGCATGGTCAGACACCGTGATGTATCACTTCTCTTTACAGCGAAGGGGCAGCGAGCTGGACTGGATTGCAGCTATCCAAACACGCAGGATTCAACACGTTTGCAGGCTTATGGTGAGACCTGTAGGTGGCCTCATTTTAATAGTCAATAACACAAGAACTATTAACTCAATTTACCATGGAGTTAAGCAACACTTTGTCTTTATTTTACTGAATGTGGAAGCTCGTGAATTTGCTTCTGCTGCCACTAAATACTCTGCCTTTTGGTCTGTTCACAAATGCATATGGAGTGCGCTGATTTTAACTCTGAATGTGCTGTCATTTGCGTTATTTCCAGCCTTAACATTGCTTCAAGGATGGGTAGAGAGAAGATATGATTTTGAAACTCTGAATTAGGACCAGAGAAATCACTTATATTATGAATTCCCCACACGCACCCTTAGACCGCAGGTGAAGTAGCTGAGAACTGCTGGTCACATTAACCATGGCCATGTTCTCAACGGGCAGGAAAATGAGGGTCACGTCATGTACTTGGGAAGAGAAGATCTACCAGCTTCAGTGGGTAAATGGACAGCAGGGCAAGGCCAAGGGGGCCAAGACGGAGACATCTCAATGCAGTCCATGAGGAGAGGAGAGGAGAGGAGAGGAGAGGAGAGGAGAGGAGAGGAGAGG